ATCTATCTATCTATCTATCTATCTATCTATCTATCTATCTATCTATCTATCTATCTCTACCTACCTATCAATCTATGTGTAGCTAGCTCTGGCTGTCCTGGAACTCACTTTGTAGTAGATATGCCTGCCTCTGCCTCTCTGCCTCTCTGCCTCTGTCTCTGCACCATCACCATACAGGATCATTTCTGTAATTTTAAACCACCTAACGTATGGTACTTTGTTACTTTAGTCCTAAGAAATGAACACATTGTGTGGATTACCCCAACAGACTGTAAGCCAAGGAGGCAATTTCTGTCTGTGTTCGTACCTATCTCTAGGATTCAGATCGATACTTAGCATATGATATGCTCATGAGGTAAAGAATATTCACATGTGTACATAACATAATACTGCAAATTAACTAGTGCAGAGTCTATGTGAACACATGCTATAATTCTGAGAAGTGAATTCTGGGAATAGAAAGGCTGAGCCCTGTGGTAGGTGTAATGTTTAGCTACAGAGCTTCCTGGATGATATGACATTTGAATATTCTAGTTTTTAATTACACTTGTTTCATTATTATTAAATTTGACAGTTTTGAACATACTTTATTTAGAAAAAAAAAAAACAAAGAATATGTGGGCTGTAGTTTGCCGGTTTCCATTTGTCTGCTTATTCTTTTATGGCTTTTACACTGTTGCAATAAATAGTTTTCAGCAGTTTTGAAATATGTAGCTCCTACAATGTCAAATAACATGTTAAACTGTCAGGACTCCTAGATATTCAATGTAATATTTAAACAAATGATTATTTAAAAACTAGAACTTCAGAACACATCAGTAATAACCAACTAAGAAATGTAACAGAAAAAAAATATTGCTCATAACAGCATCAAAAGAAACAGCAGAGTAGGAAAAATGTAGTCAGAACTATACAAGAATTTCACAATACAGAAATGCAACACAACTTTAACCCAAAGAGCAAAGTAGTTTATTACTGAATTCTACACATCAATTAAAATTTCAATTAAAGATTAGACACAAAGAGCCAGTTTTCAACAACAAAAAGGATTTGATGTACCAGCATTCAGACATACTATAAAGATAATTAAAACATCCACAGGCACAGAAGACTAGACAAGTCAGCAACATGAAATAAAATAAACTCAAGTATATATAACCACTTATAGGACAGGGATGTAGCTCAGAGGATACAGCTGCCCTCGTGTGTATAACTGTTTCCACCCCTGGTACCACATAACTAACAAACAAACAAACAGATAAATAATAAATAATTCATAAGCTGATCATGCACACACCTGCAAGTCTCAGCTGGTGGCTCAGAAAGGGGAACCAGGTGCTTAAGACTTGGCAGCTAGCTTTGACAACATGGGGAGAACATACAAGACAAAATCTGAAGAAAAATTATATCATTATTCAAAGATATACTTTGGGACAACTGGTCCTATGAGCAAAAATGTAAAAAGATATTTTATACAAACATATTTCAGAGTTAATAAAGAAATAAGTGCAAAAGTCAGATCATATACAGACTGGAAAATATGAGACATTTATGACCTTTGAGGACATAAGTCTTTTACAAATTATCTTGCTTATTTTTAGACAAATGAGAGTTTTATGAGAACTCTGATAAAGATTTACATTCTTACCATCACTTAGGAAATATAATGTTGCAAGTACAATTCATGCCAACAGTCCCTGCTTACAGGGAGCTCAAAGCTTACAGGTAAAATACATGCAGAGTGCTTTGGGAACAGAGAATTTGCAAGTCAGGGCTCATAGCACTCAGCTATAAGATAAAGTAAGTGTTTCGAGAATGAGAAAACCGGGTATGTATGGTTGAAGACCACCCCTGGGAAGGTCTACCAACCACCACTGTGCCATTTGAAATACAGCTCGCATGAGCTCAACTAGCACTAGGAGTTGAGGCTACAGAGAATGTACAGAAGGCAGAACATCGAAACAAGAAAGGATTGTGCAGAAGGCGCCAGCATGCAAGCCACTATTCACCAGAAATGATTAATCTAGTCTTCCTTAAGACAAAGAGTGAGTGTGACTACTAAAGAGAATCTGAAAATCGGAAGGCAGGACATTCAACTCATAACAGGGCCACTCACTTGTTTTACCAAAAGGAATGCAAGTTCTTGCTCTGGACTGAGTACAGGCAGCTTTAAAGCAGCCGGCTAAAGCCTCACGTATACTAACAGATACAGCACAAGTCCTGGTAGGCCCAGGACACCTCCTCCAGTGGTTCTGAAGCCTTCCACCACCATCCCTACTTTCCAAAGTCCTCTGGTTTAAATACAATGTAGGCGGTTCTCTCCTTCAGCTACTTTTCTGTATTCTCTGATAGCTCTTATCTCCTGGCCATGAATATCCCCAAAGATAAAGTGCTCGGGATCTACTTTACTTTTAAAATATTTACTGTGAAGATATGTAACTTCAACTATTACCTTACCTTCAAACCAACTTCCAGAATTCTGGCTTGGATCTTCAATTCTAGTTATGCAGCACCTTAGATATTCCGCCTCTGACGCAAATCAATTTAATAAGTCTATCCCAAAAAAGACGTACATACACACTCAAGTAAACATACAGGCACACTGTATCAACACTGTTATCAGGCTTTTTTTAAATCACAGAAATGTATTCCCCTCACACACACCACTCATTGTTATCAGTAGCCTGAGTCAGTAAAGTCTGCTCTGCTCTTTTCTTCCCTTAAAACTTGACTTTCTGTTACAAATCTTACCCAGACTTCTCATCTGTCTCTATGGACAGATCACAGCACTTACAACAGTCCCTGGCCCCTCCTCTACCACAGCCGGCTCTTGGACTGGATCCGAGCACTGTGCTGTGCTCCCAGCTCCCAGCTCCCTTCTTCCCAGAGCAACGTTCAGAAGCCACCACTCTTCCTCGAAAGATTTTCAAAGGATGAGTAATAATGCCAAATATTTCAGCTATCAGAGAACTGATTTCATCACCTGCTCTCCAATATTCATTTTTATTTTAAAATATCAATAGTAGAGGAAAGCAGGGTATAGTTCATAGAGCGCGTGCTTACAATGTGGAGAAAGGCCTTTTCGCAGTGTTCGACCCCAGCACACAACATAAAGAAAACTCTCTCCTTAGATGTCTTCCTCTCAAACGATCACGCTATAATCCAGGAGAAAATTACAAGCAATCTTTACAAGCAATCTGGCTTTTTTACTCCAAGTATGCTGAAACGATTCTTTTAGTTTTCCAACTGCAAAGCAAATACTTTAGCTCCCCGTTTTGCATGGCCTCAGCATTCGGTCTTAACTTTCATCATTTCCATGGCAGCCACACCTAGATGGTTAGCTCAGGTTACCACAAACCAATTGACTTCCTCCACACACCTGGAGTGTGTGCTTGTACTGCGCTATAGTTTGCTTCTACAAGGCCAGTGCCCTGCTGACTCTGCCTTGTTCCATTGTTTATAACCCAAACTGACATCTCTTCTGTGGAATTTCCCCCACATTCACAAACATCTGTGCTCCCACTGCACTTTCAGAGTTCCCTAAAAGGATTCAAAATGTAGCACAGTAATTACACAACTTCACATGCTGAGAATCTTGACGCTTTGGGGGAACAACTAAAAGAATGGTTAGTTTACTATGTGTGTACTTATGTAAGGCTACTGACAGACTATGTGCATGTATGTAGTGCTGAGGGCTGAACCCAGGGCCTGGCACGTGCTACCCAAGCACTGGACAACTGGCTACATTCCCAGCTTAGACATGAGTTTTAAAAGACCTGATATAATCACTTTAATCGCCACTCATATAGGTAGTATGCAATGTATTACAGTTAAGGGCGCAGACTGAACTTAGGAAATCTATGTATAAATATAGAATCGGATAATAACGTGTTTGCCTTTGTATAAACGAGGCAAATGAGACCCAGTTTAATAAGGCTTTGAAGAGCACATGAACATAAGACAAATGTCCAGTGACTGACACACAAAGTTGCCTAAGTAGTAGTTATTAAACTGAATATACGTGGTAACAGCACATGGTCGTCCATTACTTTGTTTTGTCTTTCCATTCTAGCCTCTGTTCTACATTCAGAATGTGATCTCTCTAGTTTCCCCTTTATCCAAACCTTAACCAGGTTTCAAGGCTGACCTCTGGGAACCCCACTAAATACTTCAATTCCAACCCTTAAACGCCCACAGTTCTTTCTGTATTACTCATTATTTAACTGAAACTACTCTGTATCCGAGTAGTTTTTCACACAACAGTTTGTTTACCTGATTTTGTAAACTTTGAAAAACCTAGGTGCTATCTCGGGCATCTTTTATGAATTCCAGAGCAGGCTGAGTGCTTACTAAAATAATCTCAACAGAAACCTCACCCGTGATCAAGCCACCTTTGCAATCAAAGACAAGGAGAAAGCTTTAAGGACGTCCTACTTCCTTAGCAAACAAGTAGCAAATGTACCATGCCAGGTAATCTGCAGCAAAATGAGGGCCCAGATCACTTCTAGGGAAAAACCCTTCCTGCTACTACTGCAGGGTTGTGGGCAACACTCAATGTCCCAGAAATCCATCAATACCACAGTTTGTGAGCACAGGCTTTGGAGTCAGCTTTTTGAACCTGTTTCCTTTTCTAAAAGGTAGATACTGTAACACCCACTTCATAGGTATATAATAATCAGTATTCATCCTAGCATTGAACTGAAATGTCACATTCTCAGGAGAAATGATTTTAAAATGAAAACACAAAGTCATAAATAAAACAGAACAAAATGTCCACTTACATAAGAATGTTGCATTAAATTAGCTGGCAGCAGTATTTGTAATATCCTAAATCACTAATGCCAACAATACAAATTTCTACTATAAAGTTTACCCTTATCTGACATTTCCTCCTTCTAAGTTTTTCTCTCTCTTTCACTCGTGAGTAGAAGCAAATTGACACAATTTTCCCCCAAAAGAAGACTGTGAAAAACAGAATTTAACCGACTATCAGATTAGTCCTATAAATGTAGCGTTCCAGATTATAGTTCAAAAATAATTCTCAATGATAAATATAAACACAAACTTGGAAAATTAAGACGATGGCGATCATCCCCTGATAATGAGTCAGTAATTTCAAATTAAGAGTCGTTCCAACTGGAAGCTGGCAGTCACACAGGGTCTAAAAGAGTTTGTTTACAACACTGACCAAACCAAACAGCTTAATCTTTCAGAAGATTCACCCTGACATTCCAGCATTAACTGACTACTTTGAAGCAGTACAGCTGCTGAAATGTCCAATAACTATACAAATTAAGCCCAAATGAATTTCTTTTAAATGGAAAAATGACAAGAACAGAAGTGGGCCAAGCCTTTGATATAATTTTTGTTTTGGAGTTCTGAATTAAAACGTTGTTCACCCAAGAAAGAGAGGCCCCTGGTCTCTGGAAGAGGGGGCACGTTTACGCTTAGGAGAGGAGGTTAAAATCTAAAGACAGATGAGATGAGCTTGCTCTCCAGATGTAAAGGCACGCGGGATGTATTAGGAAGGGTACAGACTAAAGGGAACCTTAATATTTATAAACACTGAACGTTCATCAACGCCGAAACCTTACGATGTCTGGGTGAAAAGTTCGCTCTGGATTAAGAAATATCAAGAGCAGGATATGGTGACATTTCAGAAGACACTGAAGACCTCACTTTCTGGGGCCATGTCCAGAGTTGGTTCAGGGAACGCGGCACGGGAACTGAAGAACGCAGGACGCGGTCACCCAGGACGCGCGATCCCGAGAGGACTTTGGGGTGGGGGCTCCGGAACTGTGCGTCAGGAACGCGGCTGGAGAAGGCGGGTGACAAAGTCAGGGAAGTCGGAGCCCGGAGCGGGGAGGGAAGGAATGCGGGGATTCCCAGGCCAGCCCGACCAGCTCCGGGCGTGCGCTCGGCGCCGTTCCAGCCCGGCTCCGCTGGGCCCCGGGTGCCAGGTGGCGGCCACGCCAGACAGCCCGCACCCTCCTGCGCCGGGGCCCTGTTCTCCTCACCTTCGGGCCGTGAGCCTCGCCGCTCCTGAGCGTCCCTCAGCCCCGCAGATCCCGGCCCATACCGCCGGCCCCTCAGCGGAGGCGCAGCCCGGATCGCTCGAAGCTCTGGCCTCCTGACCGCACACGCCACCCTCCTTTCGCCGGTGACCCGGGCTCTCCTAGCTCCGCCTCTTGGCCCCGCCCCCCGGAGCCGGAGAGCGGGAACTCATTGGTTCTGGTCAGTCTCAGAGCGCGTGGCTATTGGCTCGGAGTCGCCGGAGACGAAGGGGCGGGACTGCAGGCCTGTGCGATTCCCGTAACGCGGCTCCCGGCGTCCGGGATTCCGGAGGCTGAGCCTGGTCCACTCTTCTAGACTAGATCGAAGGCTTCCCTGCCGCTCCTGGGTGGGTGGCCGGAACGGAAGGTCCCATTTTCCTTAGGGTAATGGGTCGCAAACCAGTGCCTCCCGCGATCCCTCTCTCCAGACCTCGGCTGCTTCCCTGGGCTGTCTTCCCCGAGGGCCTGCGATCCTCCGGTGACCGCCAGGAGGCCCTTGGGACTCTGGAGGCAAGGGAGCTCCCTGGGGACGGGGCAGGGCTTAGTGGCCCTGACTGCACTCGCCTAGAGTGACTGCTTCAGTCCTAGGCTTAAGTAAACGAACCTTGCCACTGTGCAATTTTTTTTGTTGTTGTTAGTAAATGAGTTTGGGTGTGATTGGTTGATTGATCCGTGAGCTGGTGACCTGCCAAGAAACTAGTATCTTTTAGCGGTTTAAGCCGCCTGATCTGATTAGAAATACCAAAGAAAAACCTGTTTCATTGTAATCTACCACCCTTCCCTTGATTGGAAAACGACCTTAAGGCTGAAATGTGCGTGCGTACATGCATGTGTGTGTAGTGTGTACTCTCACCCCTTCCCCAAGCAAGATTAAAAGCTTAAAAGATAAGGGATGTGTATCTGTTTAAAAAAACAAAACAAACAAACAAAACAAACTCCAATCTGTATTGGTTAACTTTTACTGAGCGTGGAGCTGGCCCTGGAGTGTGATTGGTATAATCGGTGTAACTCCACTGAAGAAAATTCATTTTCTCATTCGCTACATCTACCTTTTGTTTTGCTCTAAAGGCGGGAAAGGACAGGAAGCTGGCTGGATGTAGGGGTGTGTGAGAGGAGTTGGGGGACAGCAAAAAATGTAAAAATATACTGTATAAAATTCTCAATGAAAACTTTTTAGAAGATTAAAAGTGAAGAAATGACTCAAAAAAGAGAAGGCAAGGGACTTTTGGAAGAATGATAGGCCTACCATAATGATTTGTGGAGCAAAAAAATACCCATAAATTAGTAGTTGTTAAGTTCTTTGTTATGTTGAAGCTTCAAATGGGGTGAAATGGATCGAACTGCAATCTTGCTCTCTGCCCCCCTTTCCTTCCCTCTGATGCATCTCTATATCTCCAGCTCTGAATTATGACCCTTTAGCTATTGGTCAGATACTCCGAAAGGATACTGCAAAGGGCCTGACTGAGAGTCCCAGAGACACTCTGGAGGTTGAGGTGCTTTCAACTAGATGTGTTTGCCTTTTGCTGCTGCTGCCTGCTACCCTTCAGGGTGTGGTGAGATACAAAGAAGTGAAAAGAATTCTAAGGGCCTTTGTTTAATTGAAGATCTTACAAAGGTGCTTTGTGGCTCATGCATAGTGGGGTCTCTGGACTGGCTGCCTCCTGAATGTCTAAAGGAAATCCTAGTGCTGTTACTTCCCACTGCTGTGACCTTGGAAAAGTCTTGAGTTTCATTGTCTGCAAAATGAGGAGAAAGGGTCTGACCTACTAAGTTGCCAGAAGGAAATTATTTAAAACACAAGGTTTGGCACTTTGTAAGTATTCAGTGACCATCAGATATCCTTGTATGTCTCCTACTGTTATTGCCCCTCAGACCTTTCTGCATTACAGCATTTATTTAAAATTCTGTTTATCTGAGGTAGTTGTGTATAGAAGGAGGTGAATGTCTTATAATACGCTCACCTGCCTCAGTCCATGGGTGGGGAATTCAAAGGTCTATGCTGCCTGTCTCACATACATGACTTAGCACTTTATTTCTCTGTATTGGCTCAGCTCAGACCTTGGCACTAAGCAACTCACATTTTGTGAGAGTGATTAAAATCCTAAGCAAAAGGACTGGAGAGATGGCTCAGCAGTTAAAACATTTGATGCTCTTGCAGAGGACCCAGGTTCAACTTCCAGCACCTGTATTAGGTGACTCACAGCCAACCTAACTTCAGTTCCAAGGAATCCAACAATCCTCTTCTGACCTCCAAAGACACCTGCATGCACACAAACTCACAAAGGCACACACAAACATGAAAAAGAAAAAAACTAACTTTGACAAACAATCCTAAACAGAAAAGATAAATCAATGCCTGGCAAAGAACTTTCAGAACTGCAAGACACTAGGAAGGAAGCACCCACTCTGTGGCAGTTGCTTGGTTTTCCAGACCCCTCTGTAGAATGTTGGTCCAGAAATAACCACTTTCTTGTTAAGAATTTATCACTAGAAATCCCCCCATTGAACATTGCAATGTATACTTTTTTTCAGTTGTAACATCTTGTTGGTTCTAAATATAGTTGATAATAAGTACCAGTTGGTGGAAGAGAGGATAGGAAGAAACTGGGCTGAGGTGTGTCATATGCCTCACCTTCCATGTGTACGTGGGACAGGTGTAGAAAGCTACACATGCTATAGGAGGAAGGTGACAAATGTTGAAGACAAACTTTAGCTGCTTCTGTCTACCTAAATCCAGCCCTAACCAAAATATATGCATAATTCCTTGTCTGTGTCCTGTAATGTTTCTGAAACTCTGTGTCAGTCTTGCAGCTGGTCACGAGCCCTAATGTCATCAATGGGTGCAGCATCCTTGTTGATGATTCAGTGACTGCTCTGAGCTCACCATTTCTCATTCCTTTCCAGTGATCATTAGCTTCATTTTATATGCAAGCAGCCTACAGGTAAGGCCACGCCCTCAGCCCATTCATCTAAAGAAATTACTCCATCTCCTAAATGTGGGGCTATGTTTCATTCTCAGTACCTTTAGCCACCTACATCTGTAAGCCTATGTGCTTACTCCCACGGAATCTGCAGTTTGTCCTCAGGATGACGTTGAGACTTTGTTCTCAGAGCCTATCAATTATTTCCTACCTGTTCTTATCTTCCCAAACAATGAGAAACTTTTTTAATTAGCCATTTTAACAATACTCTCACTAGGTTCTTCAGTGCCCTTGATCTTCAGCCATATTTGCCTTATCAGCCTAATTCCTAACAATGTTCCCTTTCCTTGAACTGTACCCAATGTTTATTCTTAGTGTAGAAATCTATCTCTTTATTCTTGGGAAGGATCAGGGCTACCATACTATTTGTAAACATCCTTGACTTTTTTTTTTCCTCATTTAAGAGTCAACTACTGTAAATATGTATCTATTTCCTCTTTACCCTTCTGTCTCCCAAAAAGGAAGGTCCTTCACACACAAAAAAATGTTCATAAGGAATATTATTTCACATTCAATCAGACTTTTCTTAAGATCTGCATCTGGAGAAGGACATTGCATCAAGCTGTAGGCTATTTTGGGGACATGAATTCCAGGAATTAGGGAGGTGCTAATTATTTCAATCTGTTCAGTTTATTTCCTCAGTAAACATTTGCCATCAGTTATGCACCAGCACTGAGAGAGGTCTAGAGAAAACATATATATTTTCCTCAAGGGAGTAAAAGTGTAACACAATATATAAATAAGCAAATAATGATGATACTGATGTCATGCTACAGCAAAGAAAGCAAATGGAGTGTTTAGGAAGCACCTATGCTTGAATTCTTCAGAACACAGTTTCCTCTGCCTTGTTCATATGCCCATACTCCCCTGGGTGGATTACAGACAGTCACGGAATTCTCTATGCTAAAATTAGATCTAGTCCTCTTCTTGAATTTGAATTTGAGACTGTACTGGTCAGAATACAGAAAAATGCCTCTGGGTGAACCAGGGTCTTCCACTATGGCCTCTGAGAGTGCTGAGGTGCCCTGTGTAAAGTCCCACAAGCTCAGTGGACCATGTGGAGAGAGCTGAGACTATCTGGGAAACGAGAGTGGTCCTGCTGATCTCTGTCTTGCTGCTACCGGCTTTGGAGCAAGCCCATGAGTGACACATTGCTCTTACCGAACACACACAGACTTTCCTGCTCTCACAGAAACAATGGCTTCATCAGGAAAAGAAAGACTTAGTGTTTTCCCACTGTCATTTCTCAGCACTCATTAAGGAACTTTATCTTTGGATTGGGTTAAAATGTCTGATGTTGGAGTTACACATTTTAAAATTGAGTTTAATGTTGAGTTTCATTTTAAAATTTGGTGAATACATTTTGGCTTTGATTTATTAAGTAAGCCTATACATAGTTCTGCCATTTGTCATTACCTATTTTTATGAAGTGTGAAGTATTCTAAGTACTGAAGACTATGAAATCAAAATATCAACTAGTTGGTTAACACTAGATGCCCTGTGTCCTGAGGTAGCAAATATTCAGATTCAGGACCAGGGAGATGGCTCAGTGGAGCTTGTTCTGTAATCACAAAGACCCAGTGTTCATGTAAAAGCTGGACATGCTGTCTCCTCATCTGTGACTCCAGTGCTATGAGTGGCAGAGAGAGGAGGATTGCCAGCCTAGCTCCAGGTTCAATGAGAACTTGCCTCAAAGGAATGAAGTAGAAGGGGGTAGAGAATGATACCTCTGGCTTCCGTGTGAGTGTATAAGGGCATGTACACCTACACACACACACACACACACACACACCATAAACACACATAACATGGACACACATGCAGTCGTAGGGAACAAAATACAATTTAAAAAGGACATCAGGATGGCAATAACAATGTTCACTTCTGTGCTGTGTTGGAAGTTAACTCCTCCAATAACAAAACAGCCTCCTTAGAGACACGTAAGCGGCTGTCAGAGGAGGAAGGCAGTTTCTACAGACACTGGGGTTTGGGCTCTTGTGCTCTCAAACACTCTGGAAATAGTTTTCACAAATTACAGACTAGACAGTTAGGTTTACAAATTGGAATTCATCTTCACAGTGAGTTAGGTATCAGCGA